GTTTGCTATCATGAACTGACGACTCCGGGGGCTCCTCAATCTCATACTCGCGCAGTGTGACAGAAGATGAATGATCAGAAAGCAGAGGTGTCCTACCAATTGTGCGAAGATCTGGAACGCTCCTCCCCAACTGCTCCGGCTCGATACGCTCTACATCCGTTAGTGCTTGCCATAAGAGGGAAAAGGGGCTCTACATGCCATGGCTAAATATCTCCCTGATCTTCGTTTGCTTCTGAACACGACGAGTTTTGTCCTCTTCGACCCAGCGGTCTGCGATGGTGTTCGGGGCATCGCGCGAGTACCGCAGCAGCGCCTCGGCAACCGCTTCAAAGCCAGGAGAGTTATCATCATCGAACTTGCACATGTGTCTGTGGTCGGCTTCGATGCCCATACGTTCGACACCTTCTGCGTAGGGTGCGGCGGAACTTTCGTCCACAATCAACTCGCGGGTCCCTTTGACATCACTCGACAGTGTCTCGTGAAAGAAGTAAATGTGGAACCGGCTGGTTATGTCGGCGAAGAGGCTGTTAATGTTTTGGAGCGTCTCGTTGTTGGTCTTCAGAGCCTTGACTAGCTGAGGAGACGACTCCATGAACTTCTTCGGCATGACAGCACTACAGATGTTCTGCAGTAGCAGGCCCCATTTGGCGACGTCCGAACCGTTATGCGGTGTTCCTAGGAACAGTATCCCGTAGGTGGACACATAGATGGATCGCAGGTGCTCAATCTTTTCATTTGACACGTTTCGGCAGTATATCAGTGTGCGCTTGACGACGAGACCACCGAGCGAGTGACAGACGAAGATGATCGGTCTGTCCGAACCGCTTCGAAGCTAGGAAAGTCAGTTAGTCACTCTTCTCCAAGAAGGACAAATCATGGACGCAGATCTTAGAATCCCACTTACATTTCGGTTAGCCGCCAAACCCGACGCCAGAGTTTCGGCATGATTATGGATTCTGTCCTTCGACGCGCCATCGGTGAAGGCAGTTACATTCGCGTTATAACCATAAGTCAGGATCCTTACTCGGTTCGGGCCAAGGATCTCGGGCAAAAGATCGGCAGGCCAAAAGGTGCCATTACTGGAAGCCCAAGTGTTGTAAGGGTGGCCATTCAGTCCATGGACAAACACAATATCAACCAGAGGCTTTTCGGGGCTACAGTAGACCTGAGTCAACCCGTACTGCTTCACGCGCGTGGCAAGGTTCGACATGGCTCGAACTGCCCACAACTGGACGTCGACCAAAACTGATATCAATGAAAAGGAGATGCGAGTCAGCCAGACAACCAAACAGGGGAAAGAAATCGGAGCGTGGGGTATAGCCTTTTACTTACATCCACGCAGCAAGAATTCCTGAACAGGAAGGCTAGATCGAGTCTGTTGCGACCATGCGCGAAAGAATCTCTGTTATTCCCGATGAACCGGTGGAGCTAGGAAGACAGATTATAAAAAGAAAGAGTGGCTTGAAGGATGAAAAGGGGGGAAGGACAAGAGGTCAGTTGAATCACTGAAGAAATAGAGTCAACAGAACAGCTGGAAGGAAAGGTATTTATGCGGCAACGAGGATTACTTGCAGAGAGAGAGTGAGTGCGCGGGCAGTGGGGGGGCCAAAGTAGGCAAAGGCGCGAGACAGTGTGCAAAAGACAAAGAGAGCATGAGGCCCGCAGATGACTGGGGCAAACTGAAGGTGGAGGGGGTGCCTGGTGCCTGTGGTTTAAACTGTTTAGTTTAGTGTACTGCAGTTACTACTACCAGTTCTGCAGGGCACAAGCTACAGTAGCAGCAGCAGGTCCGGAACCATAAGCAGAGTGAATTAATTACTCAATCAATTAATGGAATTCTGTTTTTTTCTCCGTCTTGAAATCAGTCAATAATCCTTTCTACTACTTCTTCTTTTTTTCTAATTCTGTATCGGGAGGATGTTGCTGAAGGTTCCCGTGGACACCAGGGGGGCTGACCAACTAGAGGTCATGCCGCCCGCCTCGCTGACCAGGAAGATCGAAGCTCACCTGCAGATCGCGGGGGAACTTTGCATCCTGACTTGACTGGTGTATCCTATTCCATCACTTTGTATACTCCAAACATCCATTAAATCAACCAAAAAGGGTCAAAAAGGGTTACGAGTCCAGGCCATTCGATCCCGTTTCTGCAACGTAGATGATATTATCATCCCATCTCGCATACAATCTAGAACCGCCCTTCCATCCAACCATCCATCAACTCATCGACTCTATACAAGAAGGACCACCCACAGTAAGTTTACGAAATTGAAGCACCCGGGCAAAGAAAAGAACATCATTCCCCCTGGAAGTGGCTGTGAGCTCTGACGCCCCGAACACGGCCTAGTCCTAAACTTAGTTTCTGCAGCGCGCCTGGGCAAGAAGGATGACTCTAGTTCAACCGGGTTCAAGTGAACTAGATTAGATTAGGTAGCTCATCAGGCTGAATTATGCACTTACTGAGCCCTACGCGAGTTGTGTGGTGCGACATTAATCAATTGAATACAGTGATTGCTCTGCTGCTGCTGCTGCCCCGGAGGATTTGAGTGTCGATCTGCGCTGCCCTGCGCAGGGCTGTGCTGTGCTCTGGGCTGCAGGTGTGTATGTATGTATGTATGTATGCATGTATTTGCTTACGACATGATGTATGTACCTACATTTAGAGGCAACTAGTGTTATAGGAGGATGTTGTTTACTGTGGCCTCTTTCTTCATTTCTAATGCGATACGAACTGGATGGAATCAATCTTAAATACGAGGCTGAGGCTAGGCTTTGCTTTGCTTTGCTTTTTCTGGGGCTTTAGGATGCTTGTGAATTGTGAATCGCGGCTGCCTGGGGCTAGCTAGGATTTCGTGTTACTAGGTGTTATTCATAAATACCTTCATGAGTAGTCTATCAAGTGTAAGTGTACATATGATTCTTGAATAGCACAATATTACTCCCAATCCAATTAACAAAACAATCAAAGCATAAAGAAAGCTGCCAGTGGATCAAAGCGGGTCCAAACAGCCGCGGATGGATCCAGGGTTCAAACCAACGTTTTCTTTTCCTTTCCCGATCGGCAACCTACTATTGTAGACTAGTAGGTAGCTACTGGCTAGATTTGGCTGATGGATGATGGATTAATGATTATGTTGATGGGTACGTACTTCCATGACGAATGGTTCGTGCCTGCGGATTCATTATCCTGGGATGTTTATCCGAGATGGGCCAGAAGAATTTGTTCCAGGTGAGTCAGAGTTTTGGTGTAACTTCTTGGTCTTTTGCTTCTTTTCTGTTTCTAATCTTGTTTACTGGGATGTTAGGCATGTTATGTGTGAGTAGTGAGTCGTATAAATTTTTCTGTGGCTGGCTTTGTGGCTGGTGGTCGTAGGGATGGTTTACTACATGGGATATGGAGGTGTGTATGTAGATGATGACCGCGAGCTGGTTGTGTTAAGTCTTAGGATTGTAGAGGAGGTATGTTGTGACAATATTGGTTATAGTTGGGAAACAATGCCATCTGTTACAATGGCTTACTTATTGTCAGATCGTCCGTAGTTCGCTAAGAAATGCACCAAACTCAGACAATGTCTGGATCTTCAAATTTAGGCCTTCATAACAGACAAGCATGCTTTTGCCTGTAGCATTGTCCCTGGTACCTGGACACCACTACCAAAACAAGTACAGTTTTCATATCTAGGGCACCCAGACATCAACCAAAAGCAGCGACACATTACATTGACTCACAATCGAACTAGTTCTAGAATCCTTCACATCCAAACCTGTCCAACCTGAGTCACAAGCTTCCCTGATCATCTCTCAGCTTACATACGTAATGGGGCAACACAACTCTTCCAGATGACTCTCTCATCGCCCCCTGAAGACGGGCTTCCGCTTTTCCGCGAACGCCCTGAGAGCCTCATACCGGTCTTCGGTGCCAATCACACCGTCGTACGCCTCATTTTCAGCCTCCTCGCCCCGTTGGAACTCACTCACAGCCTTCAAGGCCTGCTTGATGGCAATCGGCCCGCCCTCACAGATCTCCAGCGCCAGCTTGATACTCTCCGTGAGGACCTTCTCCCTCGCCACACCTTCCTTCTCTTCCTCTTCCGGCAGAACTTCCACGAGCCGATCACAAAGGCCGATGAAATACGACTCCGGGCCGGATACTCGCCGTCCGGTGAGAATCAGGTCCCGTGCGCGGTTCACGCCAATCAGACTGGGGAGACGGTAGGTACCTCCAGCTCCAGGGATAATGGCCAATCTTGTCTCGGGAAGTCCAACCATACACGAGGAGCCGAAAACGCGGAGATGTGTGCTCAGAGCGAGTTCAAGGCCGCCGCCCAGCGCCATAGAGGAAACGGCGGAGATGGTGGGAATCGGGAGCTCCGAGAGGTTGCGGAAGGTGCTTCGCAAGTTGTATAGAAATTCGGCTGTCCTAAGTCACGGTAATTGCAAGGGTCAGTAGTTTGTAATGTGGCTTCGGGAATTGGAGGATTGCGTACTCTTCCCGGCTCATGCCCGCGCGTTCTTTGAGATCTGCGCCCGCGCAGAAAGCCGAGTCGACGTTGCTGCCGATGACCAGGGCACGCGTTGGCCCCGAGCCCCCTTCAGCGGCGATAGATTTTACATTCCTGGCAAGCCCGTCGAGGAGATCGCGGGAGATTGCGTTGCGTGCCTTGGGCCGGTTCAAAAGCAGCACGCGAATGTTTCCCGATCCTGGGGCGGGAACGTGCTGGGTCTGGATGACGGCATTGTCGCTGCTCGTGCTAAATCTGGCAACTGTGACGCGGAAGGAAAAGGTGGACCGTAACGGAGTATATATAGATAGACGTGGAGGCATTGTCGTTATTTTAGGGGCGAAGTGTATAGTTATTCAGCAAGGGATGAGGAGGTGAAGGAGCTGTGAGCTTTGAGCTCGGTTGAGAAATTGAGCAGTGCTTGAGGGCCGCTGTGGGGAAAGCCGGGCGGCTGCGGGGAAGCCGCGGATAAGCGCCTGATAGAATATATTGATTAAATCGCTCTATTTTACAGTTCTATTTACATTAATGTACAGCATGCCTATATCGATCGCCCGCCTCGCGAGATCCTTGCTCCCCGTGAGCTATATAATCCAAAACCTCCTCATCACTCGGCCATGAACCCCAGACTTGCGAAGTAGTGATGATATCATATGCCTCCTGCAGGCTGGCGTCGGAGAATGTCGCGGAGTCAGCTTCAGAGTCGTTGTGCATGTGCACATCATGTGTCTGCTCCATGGACGGCTCCCACTCCCGGAACGCCTGGGGTGACCTTCCCCAGTATCCCTCCAGAAACATGCGGACGGCGACGATGATCCGCCGCATCATCCTCTCGCCATTCAGGTTCTCGTCATACTTCTCCTTCAGTGCAGTCTCGTACTGCCGCATCCAGCGAAGTAGACTCAGCAGGCCGTCAGTGTCCTCGGCTAAGCCCAGCGCCCGCACAAAAGAGTGAAGAACTGCGGGTGAGGGGACGTGAACCAAGGATGGCACGGTCACTTGAGAAGCTGTAGCATCCTGGATTGAAGATCTACTTCGCTCGAAGAGAGAAGACGTCTTGGGGTCAAGGAGAACCAGCTCATCGAACCGGGATTTGAGGATGTTGAGTCCACTCTGCACCATATCCTCAAATCGTGTCGAAACATGATTCATGCCGGTCAATCGTCCTCGCCGTGCGAGTTCGCTCACGATTACAAGCCCTTCCTCCACCGCGTCGGGATCCTTGATTCCCGCCACCACGACCCGCGCAAAGCTGTAGCAGAGGATCTGGAACGCTTCCAAGCTAAGCTCGATTTGACGCTTGTCCATCCACGCTGTGAGCTCCAAGACTTCGTACCAGGACAATACCAAGCGTGCGTGCCGTCCCAGTCTATGAGATGTTGAACCAACGCGGTCTCGGGCCAGGGCAGATATGACTGGAATCCACGCCTGAGGAGAACGTGACCGCTGCGCCCGGAGAAGACTAAGTGCATGCGCCAGGATTTTCGGGTGACGAAGATCCTCGCGTGTCTTCAACTCTTCGGAGTATGCAAAAAGCGTAGTCGAGTACGAAGGGTTCGTTGAATGACGACCCAGGAGTATCGGAAACATATCTCCCACAGAACTTTCAGAGTGCGCCATGCTATGATGCCCAACAGTAGAGAAATTGCACAGGAATGCGACGAAGGATGAGATGAGGTAGTCAGGAAAATTGTTCAATGTCTTGTTCTCCTGGGCTTGTTCGCCCCATCTTTGACTTGACACGGTACACAAATCCTCTAATTGCTCCTTTGTCAAGTCACTGCAACGAAGGTAGTCCAACCCCGATCCGAAGGTCGGTGCATTGCGCAGAAGTAAAGCTAGGAATCTTCCCCGGGGCCGGATACCCTGCGAGAGCATTTCACGAAGAAGATCATCTAATGTGGGTGGTTCCGTAGAGACATAGATCCAATCTCGGACAGATGACGGCTCTGCGAAGACCTCTTTTCCGTCACCTGGTAGTGCTTGGCTGCTTTGATGAAGGTTATGTCGAGCTATCTTTTGTCGGAAGATCAATTTTTCAGCCATTGCGGCGTAAATAGCACCACGCGGAGGCAGTCCTTGGTCGCGGTAGGAGAGGAAGCATGCCCAGGCTTCCCGCACTGTCCTCGTAGCCCGGATCCGAGCTACCCAAATGGCGTGGTGCTTGGGATCCCCGGAGGGCCCTGTTACAGTCTCCGGGCGAGGTACTAATGATCTCGTTTGAATTGTTGGGCTTTTGTCTGTGTCCCAGCCTGCTAGGATACTAGATACCTCTTCCCAGCGAGAATGTGAATAGCCTGCCTCTTTCATTTGTGACAGTACCCGCATTGCGCGGCTTTTCATACCCTCAACACCCCTCTTGACGTCGAACCCTATCTTGTCTTCCTTCCAAGGGGGCCACGATGGAGCTTTGAGCTCCGCAGATTGCCGTTCTGCTAGTGTCTTCTTATGAGCAATTTGAACTGCGACAATACCCTGGTATCCACGACGTGTCACCGGTAAAGCAGGTTGATGTCGTGCCATGGCTCGAAGAAGCTCAAATTGCGCTTGTTGCTGCAGTGAGGCGGACGTAAACGGATTGTGTCTGCAGGGTAAGGAAAGTATCCGGAGCACGGTATTGAACTTGTCGGCCATGAACTGATTGATTCGTTCTGTCGCGACCGTCCAACCTTTGCCTTCACTTTCGAGACTATCCAGATAAAACGCAAAGGCGCGAGCAATAGTAAGCTGGGCTTGTGGCCATAGCTCGCGAGCGTGATGTAGTAACCGAACAACATAAGTCACGCACATGTTGGGTTCTATCAGTGGCTTTGCGATCACACCATGTTGCTCCAGCTCTAGATCGTCGGCTATCGCTTCCATCGCCATGCTGGGGGTCGGAAGAGCCCGTCCGCTTAGAAGGTGCAGGGAATAGACCAAGAGCAGTCGGAAAGCCTTGGCGTCTAGGCTCTGACGCAGGAGAAGGAGGGGAATGAAAGGCGGCACCATCTTGATGGAACAATCTGGGCTTGAGCTTCGATCCGCTTCTAAGAGTAAAACTCGAAGCATGGCTTCGTAAGGCGTGCTACTCTTGAGAACCCATGCCCATGCCACTACATCAGCGGCGGAGTATTGTCGAGCTGCAAGATAGTTGAGGTTATCTTCGCCGAAAACTAATTGCAGCGCTTCTGTCTCCGATAGTGAATCAGAATCCATGCTCGAGGTTGCTTGATCCGAAAGGGGATCCACCAGCTCTATGTAATCGGCAACAATTCTCTGTAATGAAAGCCGGTGGTAGCGTTTGAATTTGTCCCGTTGCTTTTGTGTTAAGGAAGCCATGATTCCAGTGTTCTTGGTAGTATAGACCCAGCTGCAGCTTCCGGCGCCATGAGACTGATGCACTTTTTGCAAGGTATCAATAAGGTACTCCGTAGGAGTTGGCTCAAGGGGAGATTCGGTTCGCTTGGCTCGCTTGCGTGTGTTGGGCAGTTTCTTCTCCAGCCGTAAGTGTTTATCTTTTCCTCGTTCCTCCGACAATGGTTCTGTATGTCTAGTCAGGCGTAGAGGCTTGGAATGGCCGTCTGTGCTGTCGAGCTGGCTTCCGCTCTCCTCTCGGCATCCACCTTCTCCAAAAGCCCTGCTTTCCTTCCCAATCTCGGTTTCCTGATATGTATCTATATCACCATCTCTGCCCTCTTTGTGAAGTACAGATTTAACGCTCAATTCTCCCCCTGGCTCTCTGACGTCTACAACTCTCAAGCCGGGGAAGACCGGGCCCGCATTGGAACCATTGTAGGACTGATTTAACGGGGTTCGGAGACGTAACTTGAACCAGTTGCCACCGGGATTACCGTCGCCTTTAGTGTCCGAATGTTCCGTCGCCAATTGTTGATTTTGTACATAGCCAGACCGGAGATGGTCCGGGCCCCCGAGTACGCTTAAGATCCGAAACGATCGAGTTTGGAGACCGCCATGACAGAGTTTCGTCGTCGGAGCCGTTGTAGATTGGAGAACGTTATAACAGGGAAGACCCTATCGGAACAATTCCAGAGTCAGTATCATGAACGATATGAGAGACGACATTGATTCCGCGATACCTTCCGCCAAACACGGCTGTTGGACAAATGCGCCGCTCTCAGAGAGGTAACCCTCGAGCGGCTCGACGCATGACTTAAGACCGATGACATCCATGAAGAGAGGACATTGAGTAGCCACAGCACAGTCAATCCCGGACGTGATGTCGCTTGTCCTTAGTAGTCGACAAGTAACAAGAGCGGCGGCCGCATGGAGCGTCCCGGCGATTGGGGAAAAAAGCTGGGTCACGTGATTGATCGTCACGAGTTGCGGTTCTGGCATGGCGCGCAGGAGGATCTCGCTACTCTCCCGCCTGGAGATGGAGTCCGTCTTGCGTCCTTCCAGCTCTGCGCCCTGACTCGCCCTGATCTAGCCTGCTTTTGTGGCGTCAAGGAGCTTGTTATTCCGTGTCAATCTACTACCGTTGTGACATTGCCGTGTGCGTCGCGATCTAATCCTCCCTAGCTGCAGCGTACCGCTTCTCGATCGAGCCTCGTAACTATTGGCGCATCCGCTTCGGAGAACAAGGAACACTCAATCACCGACGACTATTTTCCGCCTCTCTCGAATCATATCCCTTCATTCCATTTACCTCCCATTAGTTTTGGCCGGTTGTGTGTTCACTGTCAAACTCCGTCGTCATTTGGACCTTCCTGGACGACTTCGCAAAAAAAGAAGGAATAAAAGAGGCCGTTTTGTACTCGCGTCAAAGAAGAGTTCGAGAACAGCGCGACCCGAAATAATGAGTGCAGACGAAGGCGGAGGGACGGCTCCGATGCCGGTCACAAATGGCGACCAGTCGCAAAATACGCCCGATCCATCTGTCCTGGCGACTCCAGGCAAGCGAAAGCGTGTCGCGAGTCACGACGAGAAGGCCGCCCAAGACGCTGGCGCTTCTGCGACGCAATCGCAGGAAAAGGCAAAATTACAGGAGACGCTTCGCAATTTGGTGGACATTTTAAGCAAGTGAGCACTCCGCGTCACCACTAAATCGTGACTGCTTCCCACTGACCCATGTCAGGAGTGATGCCGATTTGCATCTTCTATCCTGCCCATTACCGTCGTCGCCAGCAAAACCACGTTCGAAACGCGCAAAGGTGTCCGGTGATAAAGACGAGAGTTCGAGCATTCAAGCACGGGTGGCGTCAGACCGATACAGCAGTTTGTCGGAGTTTTTGAGCGATATTGAGAAGGCGTCGGCGGCAGTGATAGAGCGGAACAAAGCTCAGGCAACGCCTGCTTCAGCTGACGGGTCGCCTCTGACAGAGACTGTCAACCGCATCGCGGCGTTCAAGAAACTCCTGAATAGCCTTGTTCGCCAGGCACATGTGAGCCAGGCCAACATCAAGACTGAAGCGTCGGAAGAAGACGGAGAAGCCCCAGCGAAGTCTACTCCGACTAATGTTGAGACCCGTAATGACAGCCTTGTGTTGACATTGTTTGGGAACCCCGCAAATCCAAAACAACTCTACTCAAGCTTGCAGAAGACCGTCAAGGTTCCACTACCTTCGGATGACGCTAATGCAGACAAATTTGTGGAGGTGCAAGCGCCCTTGCGCGAAATCGGTTTGCCCAACGGGATCTCCACCACGAAGGTGCAGCCATTTGAAGCAGAGACTGCCGTCAAAGAACATAAGAGAACTTTCGGCGATGTGTTCGCGCCTCGTGCAACACTGCCCCAGTTAGAGGCGCCTCGCAAATCCAGAACTTCTACGCGCAATGCTACCAACGGCTGGATCGATCCTTTTGAAGCCATCACCGACTACAAGGCCTTCCTCGGGGATCGCAATAATTACTGCCTTGCACCTCTCCCTTCTGGACATTGGCTTCAGTATGGTGGAGTCACTTCCTCTCCGTCTGTCTGGAGCCGTCGGCAGAAACAGCATTCTTCTCAACAAGCGGGTGAGGACGTTCCAACCGATGACCCTGCTCTGAGCATCGACGAGGATGCTGCCCTCTTGCAAGGAGTGTACTCCTCTTTTGCCCCTTCGTTCGATAGCTCTGGAGCTGTGGAACAAGCCGACTCAAAAAATTTGGTATGGTGGAGCAAACGTGGAGCAAGGCGTTTGAACACACTCCTCTCGTTGCCGTACGTGGAAGATGAACAGAAAGATTCCACATCAGTCCAGCCCGGAAGTATCGGCGATCTTGACGAGTCTACTCTCGAAGAGATGGTGAAAACGTTCAACCCCGACGATTTTGCGGACAATATCGTGCATACAGATAAATCCACGGAAAAGGACGCTCAAGAGCGAGAAATGGACGACGTATTGCGCGATGTCTCTGATCTGCTAGAGACCCTCAGCTCCTACCAGAAGATTCGGAGTTTGGAGACTACGGCTTCTAGCGGTCAAGGAACTGAGCCTAAGGAAACAACGCCCGATGTCACAGGAGCAGACACTCCGTCGTCGGCAGAGCAGACTGTGTATGAGACGCTCAAGTCAAGTCTAGCAGCTCTTGTCGCAACTCTGCCACCTTACGCTGTTGCCAAGTTGGACGGCGACCAGCTGGCCGAGCTGAACATTAGCCAAACGATCCTGGTTGAGAATCCTGAGTATCAGGGCACAATGGAAAAGGATGACTATGCTTTGCAGCAGGAGCGCGCCGCTGCCTTGGCTGCCACCAGTGGTGCGAATAGAACTTCAACTCCTTCACGTTCCGGTAGCTTCCAGGCGCAGTTCAACCAACGATCATTCACGGCCAACGCGCGAACGCAGCCTCAGACTTTCCAGTCGCCACAGCCTTACTATGGGGCAAGGCAGAGCTCCACGCCAGCGCCATACACTCCTGGTCATCCCCAGCAATTCGCTGGAGCCCGCCCTCCGTCAACGCCGCAGCAGCGACCAGGCTACTTCCCTGGATACGCGCAGCAGCCCACCCCACAGTACAATCAGTACCAACGTCCTGGTCAGAACGGCTACCACCCTTACCCGGGACAACAGGGCCCGCCCGCCGCGGGTCAGGGGTCTCCGCAGCCCTACACACCGCGTCCCGGACAACCTGCGCCCTATAACGCGCCCTATACAGCCGGACGTAGCGCATCCCCACAGAAACCTCCTTCTTACGCTACCCCCCGAGGCTCCTTCGGTCCTCCAGGCTCAACCAACCCACAACAACGGTTCGTGCCGCAACAACAACAACAATCAGGCCAGCAGCCCCCTCCATACGGAAACTACCCCTCGAACCAAGCCCCACCGCCATCGGGAGGTTATTCCAACTCAGCTGCGGCCATGACCTATGCCCGGAGCGCTGCCGAGCAAGCCATCATGATGGAGAGGAATAAAGTGCAATTAGCAGCGGCAGCTCAAAACCGGCCCAGTTCAGCGACACCACAGCCATCAGGCGAAGCCTCCCAAGAACGAAGTGCAACGCCAGGAAGCAAGCAGAACGGCACGCCAGCACCATGATGAGCGGGGGATATGATGAGACACGGTCGAGATGTAGGGATATGCGTTTGATTAACTCTTAACTTTATTATTCGTCTTTCTCACTCTTTCTTAACCTTTTACTTTTAACTTTATTTCCTCTTGTTAACACTATACCATTTCAATTGTTTCACTTCTTTCTTTCCCTTCCCAATGTCTTTTACCACTCACAGAGCTTAGAAAACAAAGTCCCCAGAAGAAAATAACCCCACAATCGGGAAGAAAAACAAACCAAATCAATACAATGACGAATTCCAATATGTGTATAGTGGCGGCTAATCCATGTTGGATAATAACCTTCCCGCTCAGCGATGATAACCCTTACTACTTCTACCAATTATTCTTCTATCTTCTTATTTCCTTTTTAATCCTTTTTCTCATTCCCCTATGTCACAACGCAACAATCCCCGAGTGATTGATTGCTTTATTTAGAATCGGCTTCAAATGCAAGTTCTGGTTTCCTTTTCTTCTTTTTTCTTTTTCTATGGTCAATTCAATAGGACACGACAGGACGGATGTTTCTTAAACCATTGGTATTCTACGGGCTTGTATGGATGGATTGATGGATGGATGGATAGGATGTTCAATGTTATCATTCATCTCGTTGGTCTGGTTTGCTTTGCTTTTCTATGCTTTACTTTACTTTCTCTACTTTCACATTCCCAATGGAGTTAACTTTACTATTGATTAACCAGAGTCATTAAATCGATGAATAAGTTATCTACATAGTTCCAGAGCCTAGGTACTAGTAGGAACGTTGTCTAGGATGACGGTAATAATTCTCGGATGCTCGGGCTGACATCTTCTTCTTAGTACTAGAGTTATGCATCTCATGTTGAATTATAGGTTGGTTAAGACTTAGTCTAATTACCCATTATTGGTAGTTCATAAATGGTGAAACGAATGTAGTATACATCAATCTCTCATCATTATACACGCTCAAATACATGACAAGAATCAATCAAGCAAAGACAGGAAATTAAGAGGTAGATAGTAAGTACGACGACGGGGAAGAAGAACAAGGTTCTGCTATTTGGCGCACCCTATAACCCCTTCTCACCCCAGGCTGTCATCTGTTTTTTTCAGTCCAGTGTCGTTAACGCCTGCCCTATCTTTCTAAAAGATCCAGTTTCTCAATCTGTTCAAGGCTCAATAATACCCGAGTGTAAGAAACGCTAGAACAACGATGTACGCTACCCAAATAAAATTCGTCGAGTCATTAGTTGATTAGTGGTAATCGTAAGTAGTGGTCAGTTAGGGGATGAACATTGCGGCGACGGTCATGAAGCCGAAGTATCTGAGTCGTGGGGTTAGTTTCTTGTTTTGTAGTGGGGAGGAGGAAAACATACATGGTTGCGCATCGCCAGCCGTCCCGAGAGTCAACGAGCTGGTCTGCGCTGGTGGAGTTGGTGGAGGCAATGATTGACGCAGCGACTCCTACGAGTGCGACTACGACGAGACGACCGGAGAACTCTGAAATCATGCTGAATGCGAGCAGTGGTAGGAGGATGGCAGTAGAGGCAATGATGATGGTGGTGAAGATAGGCTTCGCGGTCGAGGTAGAAGCCATGCGTGGAGTTAGAGAGATCAGGTCTTTGGTGTAATCGAGGAACCGTGTCTCAGCGGCGATGACGGGGTTGGTTTGCTTCATCCAGTTCCGATACGTGTTGATATCCTGCGTAGAGGCGCGGGGGAGTGTTTGAAGGACCCTACTATATGCGCTGAGGGCATTGTCTAGAAGATATATTGTTAGTATCCGGATCCACGATCGGCCGGCAGCTGGCACTTACTGTATTGCTCGGTCTTTCGAGCTAGCGCACTGAGGAGCTCCTCACGTCGGTAGTGAACGGAGGAGTATACCTGTGCTTGGGCATCCATACGCCGGGAGGCAGGGAGCATTTTCGTGCCCTCTTGCTCGGCCGTTGCGGCCCGTTGTAATTCCTCGTACTCATCCACTAGACGCAGGTCTTCCTCCATTTGTGCAATCTCGTCCTGAAGATGAAGCAGTACGCGATGGTTGAGATTCTCGAACCGGCGATACAGAGGTGGGAGACGGGGCTCCTGGCTCTCCGTGGCCAAGCTCAGCCGGGTAGCGAGAAGGCTATATCCGGAGATGTCTGAGGAGGATTTGGTGTTGCGCCTGTTCCGTCGTGTGGGCCGGTGAAGATCTTCTTCAGGGCTTCGCGGCGGCGATGGGGGTAGTGGCGACCGCTGAAGAGAGACAGAATTATGAGGGTAATACGTCTCCGGTCTTGCATTCAAGTCCACGCTTCGTTTCTCATAGTAGTTCGAGCCGTCGGGGAACGCCCCCACCCCACTGTATGCCCCGTCCAGTGAGGGTTTATGCGCTGGGATGTGGCTCTTCACGGTGTTTGAGGTCACGGTGCTTGGAGGAATGTCAATTGAACTGGGAGTTTTCTGAGAGTTCGCCGAGGACTTTGACAGTAAGGACGAGGTACGGCTGTGCGCATCAGTGCCTTGCGCGGCGGGGCGATACATCTGACGGACTGCGTTCTTGTATGCCCCCTTGGCATTATTGCTGGGTACGGGATGCTCGTACTCATCATCAGACGAATCATCCGTTGTAGTCGAGTTATCTTCGAGGTACTCGAACACATTGGGTGCTTTGCGATTGGAGTCATGTTTGTTCTGAGCTGCTTGTGGCCGCGCAGTGGACCCGTTGCTGCTGCTCTTTGATATAGTAGATTGGGTCTGGCTGTCTACCTTGGGTTTCTCCACTGACAGTTTGGGGCCTTTGGTGGAATGCGAATTTGAAGAAATGACCGAAGCCGTGGACGCTCTGCTCGTCCCATCTTTCTTAGATTTTTTGGAACGAGTAGAGCTAGAGTAGAATGGCATCATGGGTAGATAGGGTGATTAATGGCGGTTAATATGGTAGCTTTAGAAGGCCGCAGCGAAAACTAGTGTTTCCAGCTTCAGGCCATACCCCAAGAGATGAAGAGAGAGAACAATCAGAGTGTACTCTGAGAGGGTGATGGTGTTTGGAGGGGAAGCACCCAAGGCATATCAAGGGAGAAGGGTAGGGCCTCAGAGACGGCGCGAATCTCAGACGAGGGTCCAAGAATGTAGGACAGAATGCGGTTGATAGGTCTCTTCCTCCCTGTGTAGCGGATCGGAATACCCTTGACAAGCGTAGTTTGAAGATCACTGGCGGACTATGGATCCCTCCACTGGAGATCCCGCCGATTAGCCGGGTTTTTAGATCGGTTTGGGGTCTAGGCAGTATAGAGAGAACGAGAGAAAGAGAAATCAATTGTATAGATGGAGGGTAGACGGGATGACAGTCAGAACCGGAAATAATCAACAGTAAATACTGGATGGACAAGGCGAATCAGCCCCCAACACCCAGGGACGAAGATGAGACAAATCTCCGACAAGAGCGACGAAGAAAAGCGCTGAACAGGTCCTTTTCTTTTTTTGGGACGCGAGGCAGCCTTGAGGGAGTCTCATTCGTGGTGGTAGGCGCCCCGAGTTCCTGATCTGCTCCGATCGCGAGGGGCCCTTCCCTGTCAGAGACGGGATGTCGGATGCTTTCTTTTTCTTTTATTAATACATGAACTGAAAATGAGAGGAGTAGAAACAGAGAAGCGCAGTGGAGAGCAGCGAAAAGGACGAGGGAGAAGTAAAAAACATGAGAGAAGAAATAAAGAAGAAGGTGGGATGTGCAGAGGATCCACATGCGATAGAATTGTTGAAGAGCAGCAACTCGACATGTTTTTTCTATACTACAAATCAATCCATGCGGGCTTCACTTGGGGATCATCTGTTCCCCCTCCATGCTGGTAACATCCTCGAAGTTTATGCTGCGTTGGCTGACGGTGACTCGCTGCCGATCCCACCTTGCATGACTGAAATTCTCCGGCGTTATCGTTGTTGGACACGATGGCCCTAAGTAGGTCATTCATCCATCCCCGACGATGAGTTGGTGAGAAGCCATTCATGTGCTGGTATCGAGGGGTTGTTGTTGGTATCTAACTTTTATCCCGCTCTCATTTTCTGTCTGCTTTGTTCCGCTGATCCGCGGGTTGTTGAAGTCAAGATGCATGACATTCCCTTTCCTGGAATTTACTCTTGGAAGCATGACTTGCAGCTGAACCGCTGGCACTGGCTGCCTCCGAACACTGTTCACAACGCATCGCGAATAGGATGTCCTGGAACACCATTCGGACATATTCTCATTGGTGCAGTTGATGACTACTATCGCACTAAGAGTACTAGTATCCCCCTCCATTCCATTCCTTCATTTGATTTATTGTATACTTTGTTACTATTCGTGTACTGAATATCGATATGATATCTATTATCTCGATGATATACCAGCGGTGAGGGTAATTACCGTATGGTACGGGCCGTGATCTCCGCCCGCGCTTAATTCCGTCCTTCATCGATTCCAATCCAGATCCCAGACCTCAAGGATTGTGCCAATTTCTTTGCCATCTCTCCCACCGCGACCGGTCCGATCTTCTCTTCCTCTCGTGGACCCGTCCTTTCGCCTACCTTCCTTGCCCTCGGGCTCATGCTTCGACCGTGGCTTCGGCAGTGCCCGCGAGCAACCCGCTCGCTCGCCTGCCCGCAATGCCATCTTCCCCGGCCGCAGACTGCCAGGCGCGCCCTTAGGCCCCTCCCTGCCTTGTCCCTTTCGCATCCCATTCGATCCCTCCAAACTGCGACGACCGACTCGCCGGACCGCATTCCCCTGCGAAAGCAGCTGAAACAGGACGCCAAGGCCGTCAAGGCGCGCAAGCGACAGACTCGAGGGAATGAGGAGGCCTCCCGACAGAAGTGGGAGTTGACCGTGGGCATTGAGATCCACGCGCAGTTGAACACCGAGTCCAAATTATTTTCGCGTGCGTGACTGGATTCTAGACAATTGAACTGAATTGTCTAGCTGATCGCTGAGCAGGAGCGTCTACATCATCTACGGATCTTCCCAATTCGAACGTTGCGCTGTTCGATCTAGCATTCCCAGGGTCGCAACCGGTTTGTGGATGAATTCTCTCTATGCATGAGGTGCAGACACTTACAGCTATGGTGTAGGAGTTTCAAATCGCAACGCTTCTCCCCGCCCTCCGCGCCGCCCTTGCTTTGAACTGCGAGATACAGCCAGTCAGCAAATTCGACCGCAAGCATTACTTCTACCAGGACCAGCCGGCCGGATACCAGATTACCCAATACTACGGTGATATAGTTCCCTCCCTCTCTCGCAGCCGATTAGTGCTCTGACATAGAGTAGAGCCTTTTGCGAAGAATGGCTATGTAGACCTGTTCCGCCATGATGGCATTGCGCCTGAGGACGGCGACACGGTTCGCATCGGCATCAAGCAGGTTCAGATGGAACAGGATACCGCCAAGTCGCAAGAATACCCGCCCTCGACGCAACTCCTCGACTTCAACCGTGTCTCCCACCCTCTCGTCGAGATCATCACTATGCCGCAGATCCATACTCCCGCCACCGCGGCGGCCTGTGTTCGGAAGATCCAGTCCATCTTGCAGTCCTGTAATGCGGTGACAACTGGCATGGAGCTGGGAGGTCTGCGGGCTGACGTCAACGTCTCCATCCGCCAGCGAGGTGACACAGCGGGCACGCATCAGTACGGTGGAATCGGCGGACTCGGACAACGCACGGAGATCAAGAACCTGAGCAGTTTCAAGGCGGTCGAGGATGCCATCATTGCGGAGAAGAACCGGCAGATTGCCGTCCTTGAGAGTGGCGGGGTGGTAGAAGGTGAGACCCGCGGCTGGACGATTGGAAGCACCGAAACGCGCAAACTACGAGGCAAAGAGGGGGAAGTCGACTATCGCTATATGCCCGACCCAGATCTTCCGCCCCTATACATCGGCGCCGACCTCGTGGCAGCGCTTCAGACCAATCTCCCAACCCCCTCGGATGCGCTCATTGAACTACTGGCCGGGCCGGAGTATGGGCTGCCCATAGAGGATGCGAAACCGCTCGTGGAACTGGAAGATGGCGCGCGGTTGGAGTACTATCAGGAAGTCGTGGACCTCCTGCGAGCGCTGCAGTCGGATCAGGACCCCAAGGCACAGAAAGGACTGGCGCGGATGGCCGGCAACTGGGTTCTTCATGAGCTTGGGGGTCTATGGGCCAAAGCGGAGGAAGCGTGGGATGCGGCGCGGGTACCTGCCCCGAGTCTGGCCGCGCTGATCGACCAGCTGCAGCGGAAGCACATCACAGGGCCGACGGCGAAGCAGGTACTCGCCATGGTGTTCGCGGGGGATGAGCGGCCGATCCCCCAGCTGCTGGAGGAGGAGAACCTACTGCTGCGCCCACTGTCGCGCGAGGAGTATGTAGCGCTGGCGGAGGCAGCAATCAACCTGAACCCCGCCATGGTAGAACAGATCCGACAAAAGAACCAACTGGGCAAGCTGGGCTGGTTTGTCGGGCAGATGATGCGCATGGGCGAGAAGGGACGAGTGGAAGCGCCGAGAGCAGATGCGATTCTGCGGGAGTTGATCTTGGATCAGCGATAATGTATACCTGTGTAGTACATAGATAAAGCAATAGATAGCAATAAGCATGCATGATACCCATCACACGGTGATTTCCCCCACCCTTATCCCCTCTTATCCCCGAACGTCATCTGTCGGGGGTGAATTGCTAATGGAAACGGGCGGAGGAAGTGGATGCTCTCCTGGACCTGTACTTAGGGGAACAACCGTTCCCTAAAAGCAGGTCTTAGCGATCGCGGACGCCCCACGGCTGAGAATGCTTTTAACCGGCTCGTCGCCCCTGCAATCCGGTTTCATTCTTCTTTCTCTCAGTATTATCTGGAGTCTGCTTTCTCCTTCATCCCTTCTAACTTCTCTTCTCTTTTCCTAACTCTCTCCTAAGGGTCCAACCTCTCGTGGTGGTGCTTTGGAGTCTACCTCGGATCGTCTCCACTCACGATCTTATCTCATCTTTGGGTCCGCCCTTCTAGAACCTTTTCTTTTTCTTCCTTCCTTCATCCCACGCGACCCTACCCCTCCAACTCTTCCCCTCTCCTCTCCTCTTTCTCTCACACATTCACCATGACTTCTCCTTCGACAATCCGGCAGAGATTCCTCTCCAAGCCCAACCAGCTGGGCGTCGTGGCCGTTGGTTTCAATGGCGGACAGGTACGTACAAAAGAATTCCATGACGACGGATCCGTCGATCATCTAGTAGCGTGCATAGTAAAAGGAAGAACCCCCACTAACCATACACACCCCGATCACAGTGCAAGATGGGCGTCGAAGCAGCCCCGATGGCTCTCGTTCAAGCTGGTCTGCTCGAGCAACTGCGCGACGATCTGGGCTACGAATTGCACTATGACGAGAAGGTCCACCACTACGAAGATAAGATGCCCGAGTCCGACCCCGACCACCGCGGCATGAAGAAGCCCCGGTCGGTCAGCGCCGTTACCGAGTCGCTGAGCGCCCAGGTCTACGAGCACGCCAAGGAGGGCAAGTTCGTGCTGACCCTGGGTGGTGATCACTCCATCGCTATCGGTACCATCTCCGGCACGGCCAAGGCGATTCGTGAGCGACTGGGTCGTGAGATGGCTGTCATCTGGGTGGATGCGCACGCCGATATCAACATTCCTGAGATGAGCCCTAGTGGTAACATTCACGGTATGCCCATGGCGTTCTTGACGCGCTTGGCTCGTGAGGAACAAAAGGACATTTTCGGCTGGCTGCAGGATGAGCACATTGTCAACACCCGCAAGCTGGTGTACATTGGTCTTCGGGATGTGGATCGCGGTGAGAAGCAGCTGCTTCGTGAGCATGGCATTAAGGCGTTTAGCATGCATGATGTTGATCGGTAGGTTTCCTCCTCCTCCTCCTCCTCCTCCTCCTCCTTACCCTTAAGTATCCTCCGATGATGCAGTGGTGTTCTGACAACCTGCAGGTACGGCATTGGCCGCGTGGTCGAAATGGCCCTGGCGCACATTGGCAATGACACGCCGATCCACCTGTCGTTCGACGTGGACGCGCTGGACCCGCAGTGGGCGCCTAGCACGGGTACCCCTGTGCGTGGTGGACTGACGCTGCGCGAGGGTGACTTCATCTGCGAGTGTGTGCACGAGACGGGTAACCTGGTGGCGATGGACTTGGTGGAGGTGAACCCCAGCCTGGAGGAGCATGGCGCTAGCGACACCATCCGGACGGGATGTTCGATTGTGCGGAGTGCTTTGGGAGATACCTTGCTGTAATGCAGAGGCTGTGGCTGTAGGGGGTGAGAACTAGAGTAGAACTAGAGAACTAATGAGCAATCTGAATCAATCAACGATAAAGCTTATCCGGAGTAACTCTAATTAGTGTGAGCTTGACCATGCGGAGAATGAAGGATGGATGGATGGATGTAGATACTACTACTAAATTTACCCGCCCTGCCACCGCATTAGTTTTCGTCCTGCCACCGGAATTTCCAACGCCCATGATGAAAGAGTAGTAAGTACTCCATAACTGTCTGTCTTTCTTTCATTCTCTGATTTACTTTTCTTGCATTCTTTCCTTAACTTGTCAATTGTCATTCCTTGATTGTTTTTTTTTCTCGCCTCGATACTTTGATACCTACACTTCAAGCACAGTTAGTTCTAGACCCGCCAGGCATCATATCATATCCGCCCAACCCACGCCTCGCCCCAGCTTCCCCCATTTACGGTCAACCCTGATGCGTTGTCAATACTAGACCTAAACCAAAACCAAGTTGAATGAGGGTTAAGGCGGAGTTATTGTTTCAGCCTGATATGATGATATAATGCGATATTAAATTTATATCAACATACCCCGGAAGATCACAACCACCACTGCACTCTACTACTACTACTACTATATACATCGTCAACCAATTGTCTATATACTACACACCACACTCACCACACACCATCTATACCCACCACCACCACCATCCCAAAGGGATAACCCCATTTGAAAAATGGCAATGCGAATCTACCACCGCCGACCCCGCCGGTACCACTGGCCCGAACTCCAACTCAACATCTGGATCATCGTGGTCCTCTCCTCATCCGCAATCTGTCTGGGTATATTCGCCTGGTTCATGACAGTTCAAAATGACCTGGGTTTGGAAGTTCCTTGGTACGATACCCTTCCCCCCAATTCCACCCCCAAAACCACCACCACCATACTAACACCCCCCCCCCCTCCTTCTCCTCCGGAGGAAATAGGCTCTTCCCCTACATGATAACAACCGGCGCGCTCGGCATCTTCTTCGTAATCTTCATCCTAATCCTAGCCGCACAACGCTTCCTCCTGCCCGGGATAATCATCATAGGGGGGTTCATTCTCTTCGTGCTGTGGTTAACGGGACTAGTGGAGACATCGCTCCAGCTGTATGGGGTCGTCGCGAACGTTAATGATAATTGTCGCAATTATATTGATAATGTTAAGCCTGTCGGGGATGGGTGGAAGACGTTGGCGTGGATTGAGGAGGAGACTATTTGTAAGTATCCCTCTTTTTTTTCTTATTCTGTTCCCTTGGGGGGTGTGGATTGAGGTATGCTAATTGGTGTTTGGTGTTTGTGGGATAGGCAATTGTTGGAGAACGGCGTTTGCGTTTGAATTGGTGAATACTATCTTTTATGTTTGGATGATTGTTATGTCGTGGCAGGTTAATCGGGATCTTTATCGTTGATTTCTATCCCTCTTTGAGAAGAGGGGGAGGGGGACGGGTCATGTATTATGAGATATGATTGTATGATTTCAATGGATAATATAGAGCTCTTGCTCACTTCTATACTACTTACTCATGAAATATCTGGAGCATATATTCAGTGTTGTATTTTCCTTTATATCTCAAACGCCCTCGCTATGCCATCACTTATTGGCAAACATGGCAAACATGGCAAACATGGCAACATGGCAACATGGCAAATATCACAACGCCAAATACATCCAACTAAAATATCCCAACCTAACTACCTGACTATTCATTCTCATTCGCAATTTGTTCCTCCGCCTCCGAATTGTAATCCCCTCCCTCCAGTGCAGCCATCATCTCGCGCTCCAGCTCGTCATCCTCGTCGGCCGGATCCACCTCTGCGGGATCAGGCGGGCTCGACTTGTCAGCGACCTGCTCCGGCTCCTCTGTCCCCGGTTCCGTTGCAGATGCTGTTGTGCTTGCAGTCGACTCTACCGCCCCTGCGCTGGCTACTTCCTTCAGCCCCGTGCTGCGCTCGTATGACCGCTTGATCCGCTGAGCTAGCCGCGAGCCTGGCTCGTCACCCTCGCCGGCACTATCCGTATCCTGGTCGTCGTCATCGTCGCCGCCTTCTCCTTCCTCGCGCTTCCGCTTCTTGCTGGCAGGAGTGCCTGGCTCATCCATGAATGTGGCTTCGCTGTCGCTCTCGCTCTCATCGTCACTGCCTAGGAACTCCTTGAGCTCATCGTGGACCGCGGCCTGCTCCTCGTCGTCGTAGCCGAGGGGCGACATTTCGGATATGCCTGCGGATTTGAGAATCTCCTCTGTTGCCTCTTCGTCATCCGCTACAGAGTCGCCCGTTGCCTCGTCCGACGATGAGAGCCACGCGCTCTCCGCTACCTCTTTGGATCCCGGTGAAATTGGCTCGCCACGGTCGTCCGGATGCACAGGGAGGAGATACGGCTCCTCCGCTAAGCGCTTCCATTGCGTCAGGCAGTCCACTAGCCATTGTGTCGTGACGATCTTAACTTTCGGATACCGGGTCGCTTCGCGCACTTTGGCTGTGCGGTTCCGCCCGGCGACGAGATGCGTGGTCTTCATGTTGATCTTTGATGCAATGACCGCTCCGAAACTCTTCGCCCAGAGGGAGATGTCGGCATTCTGTGTATCCGTGCCGAGGGGAAGCACACCGGAGAACACGAGGGTCACGCCGCCGAGGATTCGATGCTTCATTTGGGGCATGATGATCTTGACGTCTGGGACTAGTTTCAGGTCGACGTCCTTCTCCTTGGACGGCTTTTCGCCGCGCAGGGCGGCGACTCGTCCGCCCAGGGCCCGTGAACGTCGTCGGTCGTATTCGTCGAAAAAGTCCCGGTGTACTTGCTCCAAACGCACCTCGAGGTCGAACAGCTCCCGATCATTGTCCTCCAGTAGGTGATGTCGGTGCTTGCTCAGATCTTGTGAGTCGTCTATGCTGCTGGATGTATCGCTGCTCTCTGCTGCATCGTCCTCCGCGTCTAGCTCCTTTTGCTTCTGCAGTAATGGCCGGTCCTCCACTTGATGCATGATTGTCTCCTCTTGTGCATCGCTCTGCTCTTGTAATAACCTGGGATTATCGCCGCCACCCATGGTTACCAGCTGTTCCAATGTCGATACCTCTGTCTGGTCGTCTCTCTTTGCCGTCGCCCCGTTGACATGATGTTCCGCCAACCCCCCCTTGGCTGTCTTCGCTGCCGGCTTCTCACCCCCTTTGCTGGGAGGTCCCAGCTCCTGCTTCTTCGGGAGGAAACTAGAGTTGATGTCCCCGATGCCGACGAAGAAGTCGTACGGCGACACCTTGATGAGATTGGGGTTCCAGCGCCAGACGTCCCCGCGGTCGTCGATAATGACGACCATCTTGGTGTCCACCGGGAACAGCCGGTGCAGGTTCTTGGCCACCAAGCTGCCACTCTCATCTCGGCTGAGAATACGGTCACCAAAGAGTTTGCGGTCTGGATCTATGATACTAGCGATATGTTGCGCATAGGACCTCGTTCCCATGGTGTAGATATGTAGCTCATACATCTCCGACACATTCTGCAGAAACGACTCTAGCCCCGGTCGTAGCTTCACATAGTACCAGCACCCGCGCATTCCCGGCCCATCATCTACCAGCTGAAACGCACGCACATCGCTCAGAGCCTGATAATTCGGGTTTTCCTTGTCCTGCATCCACTCTCCGACAGTCGGATCGACGGTAGCATGAATAATGGTCTGGTCCAGATCGACGACCAGCGACAGTTTCCGATTCGCCAGTAAGCGGCGTTTCGCATCCTCTTCCACCCGCGTAGCTTCTTGTTCACTGACCGTCAACGTGGTATTATCGTGGGCCATCTGAATCGGCGCGCGATGCACATCCGTCACCTCAGTATTGTACGAAAAACTGCAAACAATCGTAAGTCAAGACCAACACAGAAAACACCCGAGACCACCTACTCAGTCATATCCTTGCCACAAATAGCACAAAGCCCACCAAATTGAACCTCATGAGCACATGGCTCATCAACCTCCAAAACATCGACCCTAACCAAGTATCAGCATCCCAACACCAGATCCAAATAAGCGACAGCAAACATCGGAACATACGGCTCATCGATAACATCCCCCTTCTCAATCTTCCACTGCACCACCTCTCCATCGACCGTCGATTCGAACTTCGTCGGGAACTTGCGCTTCACATCCACCTTATTCCCCAGCCCATCCCCCTCCGTCACAGTCGTCTGGTACACGTACCAGAATAGCGCCTCATCCCGTTCCACCTTATCACCGGGCTGTTTCAGCAGCGACGTGACGGTGATCGGGTAATGGAGGCTAGGTGGTAACCGGAGAAGCATGCCTGGATAACTCTTTCACACAGGTCGACTCAGCAAGCTCTCCTAGTAATTGTAGGTATCCAACCCCCCTCCTGCCTCCCTAACACCGAGAGTGAGGCAGTGTCGGGCGAGGGGCCGCGGACGGATTTATTTTCGATAGCGAAAGGAAACGAAAGGAAGAAAGAAAAGGATCGAGCTCGATAGCTATGAAGCCATTCCCGAAACTTCTGCCGTCGGTAGGAACAACAGCGACCTAGCTTAATCGCAGCGGCGCACGAGGATCTCGATACGAAGGAAGTGTATTTGAATGGAACGGGGTCAGGTGGACAAGTGATGGAGTTGTCGCGGGATGGTTCGCCACGCTAGGACGCGACGAAGTCAATAAGGCGGGCGCGGGTTTGCGCTGTGGAGGTGTATCGGGTAAAGGTGGAAAGCGGGTCAATCTGGGCTCGTAATATCGAGCGCAGACGAAGGGACAAAGAAGCGATCGGGTATGGAAATTGAAGAGCGGCTAAAGAGAAGGGCAGTCGTGGGGGATGATGAAACAAAGACAGAGCAGAGAGAAAGTCTGGATGGAGGAGGTGGTGAGAGCGTGATGAAGAAGGCTTGGCTGCCAAGAGAGTTGCTTGGGTTTTGGCGCCTGGCCTGTGCGGGGCGAGACTCGCCGGCCCAGACTCGGCTGGTACCGCGGTTGCTTCTTATTGTTACTGCATCACGCGGTTTACGTCAATTCCAATCAGTTTTAAGTTGTTACTATCATATTGCATAACCATTTACATCCTAAATGCCAACACATGTCAAATAATATCACCGGCTTTCCATTGAAGATCCCTAGAATCTATCCGGCAACCGCTGCAAACATGAGGATAACCATTCACAACATTACGTGTGTTCGTCTGCCAAAATCATAGATCAAGCTACAAGAAGCAATGATGACAGCAAAGGCAGCATCATAGATACCACATCATTCCGCAGAAACCCGCTTACTTAGCCTTAGCCAGACCAACAGCGCTGTTGCCAAGGTCATACACACTGTACCACTTGCGCAGGAACGCATCGCCCAAAATGGCCAAAGGACCAACCGGCTCAGGGAAGTCCATGCCCATGAAGGCACTGACGCAAGAGCCCTGCACCTCCAAGGTGTAGTCATACGAGGTGATGGTGAAGTTGTGGCCGGCAAGGGTGAAGGTAACGTCGGGCAGGGACGAGCGCTTGTCGCAGTCAACGGTGTACTGGCCGGTCCAGCCCTTCTTAGCACCGATCTGAGCATTGCTAGAAGACTGTTAGCAACTTGTTTGTTCAATCAAGACATCCAAGACTTTTGACTTACATCATCTCGGCCAAGTCAGCAGGCAGAGCAATCAGGGAAGTACCAGTGTCCAGGATGACACCGGTGTTATCCAACTCAGCAACATCGTCGCCAAGAGCAATGGCGTCAAGGTCAACCTCCCAGTAAGCCTTGCGACGGAGGGGGATCTTGATCAGCTCGCCAGTGTAGTGGTCCTTGTCGACGCCACCGAAAGTCGCCACGGAATCGTCACCCTCCTTGTTGGTGTCTCCCAGGTAAAAAGCAAAGACAGGCTCGTCAAGGAGACCCTGGTCAAGCATGTTGTAGAAGGGAGGAACAATCTTGTTCACGGAGATGGTGTCATAACCCAAGCCGAGAATGCCATCGAACCGGCCGAAGGCAAAGGCAAGACCAGGCTCGTTGGTCGCCTCAGCGAAGTCCTGTCCCTTGACCTTCAGGTCGCCAATCTTCAGGGTGTCCTGAGAAATGAACCCGCTAAGGCTGCCAGAGCCGTACTTGATGGCGAATTCACTGCCGTTCTTGTGGTACGTACTCGAGGCAGACGAGTCATACTTGTTGTGGAGGTAGCAGGCAATAGAGCTGCATTCGCTCGAAGGAACCCAAAGGTTCGAGCTACCAGTGTCCAGGACAACCTTGAACTTCTGGGGGGGAGTACCCAGCTCGATCTCAGAGAAGTCTATGGCAAGAAGGGTCAGCAGCAATCAGCCATATAAGACGGTATCTCCATACACTGTGCATTCAGGAAGTTGTCCACCAGGACATCATGACGGCTCATGTCATTGATAGGGTTCTCCTCGACCAGCTCTTTGTGGATGGACGGGCGGATACCCATGTACTTCTGGCCCAGAGCGCGGACATGGGCGTCGATGTTATGCGTGTACTATAGACCACGGGATCAGCTTTGAATCATACTGGAGCTTCTTTGAAGCTAGCTAGCTAAGAAAACGATGCAATGATAAGGCCACACTCACAAGCTGCTCTTCCAAAGGCACCTTGTTAAGCTTGAGCTTGTGAACCTCGGCGGAGGCACAGCCCAACAGCACGGATGCTGTGAGCAAGGAGGCTGACTTCATGATGGGCGACGGCTGAAACGGCTACCCAGCGGGATATGATGGGCTGGGTCAAGAAAACTGACAGATGCACGTATGAATAGAAATGATGATAGGGACAGAGAACGATGAAGAAGAGATGGAGGATAGCAGGGGAAAAGAGGAGGTCTGGGGGTAGGGAAGAGTGATGCGGGTGACTTAGAGCCGGGAGGCGCTGGTTGCGGAGCGACCTGCCAGGTCGCAGCCAATGGTTGGCCAGCCTGGCTGCGTCATTTGGCAAGGGGATCGTCACGGGTTATCGCTCCAGTTGATTGTAGCTGCCAGGTCGCCCAGGTACATCTTCTCTAGGGTTCAAAATATCAGGTACAATAAGTTTAGTCTAGCTATCCCATCTTCCCATCTTTGTATCTCTCTCTGAGCTTCATCCGAAGCTTCCTGGAGGTCTCCTTGTTCCTTGAGGCCTTATCGTGATGGTCGGATCACGCGAATCCGAGCGCGGGTGATGATGTAAGACCGCCTTAGGTTCCCGGTGCCTGCCTACTTCAAACTAGCGCAACCGCCTTGCTAAACTAACCAACAGCTGCGGACAGGTCCTATCTACCTATCGCTGACCTGTCTACTAAATAGGCAGCACAGAGCCAGACACGTACTCCTGTAGATCCTGAGAGGCTCGGGTAGCCGTCCAACTGGAGCTTGCATCTGTTGAATGATCGCCCCGGCCAAGTGGCGGTATCAACGTGGGTTACTGTTCTACTTTCTACAAGGTACTTGGTCCCAACCGATAGACTACCCCAGCGGAATACCCAATGCGTCAGTCGTTGTCCTAATATGAAATAGCCTAGATGTTGATAATACAGCTAACGGTCCCCCTGTTCGCCTTGCGTAATCCGATATCCAGCTTAATGCACGTCCCATACTTGATTTACCGGTAGAATTCGAGTCTGTATGCTTGGTTAGCCATGTCCCGATCGCGGGTAGCATAGACAATGCTCCGTACCTATCCGCTTCCTGTCCGGTCTTCACCTGGGCGGCGTAAGCATCCTCGAGATCCGACTGGATGATGTTGTAACGGTTCTTTCGGACAGCACGGAGACCAGCCTCTTGCATGATGGCGGCAATGACCGCACCAGAGAGGGGCTCGTTGCGCACAATCAGCGAGTCCAGGTCAACTTCCGGCGAAAGAGACATCTTGGATGCTATCGTAGAGAAAATCAACCGGCGTTCACGCCGGTCCCGCAAAGACGGGAACTCAATCTTCCGGTCCAGACGACCCGGACGAAGCAGGGCCGGGTCCAGAGTATCAGCTCTGTTGGTGGCCATGATGACCTTGACGTTGCTCGACTGCTCGAATCCATCCATCTGATTGAGAAGTTCCAGCAAGATACGCTGCACCTCACGGTCTGCACCCGTCTGGGCGTCGAAACGCTTCGTGGCGATGGCATCAATTTCATCAATGAAAATGATAGCCGGGGAGTTCTCCCGCGCCATTCTGAAAACATCACGAACCATGCGAGGTCCTTCACCAAGGTATTTCTGAACGAATTCCGAGCCGTTTACACGGATAAAGCTGGCGGTCGTGCTGTTTGCCACCGCCTTGACCAGCATAGTCTTACCCGTACCGGGAGGGCCGTAAAGGAGGACACCGCGGGGAGGATCGATACCTATCGCCAGCATTAGTAATGGACTCTTAACAGAAGAAGCAGCATTGAAAGGAGGGTATGCTCACCGATCTGCTTGTAAAGGTCAAAGTGCGTCAAAGGCAGCTCGACTGCTTCCCTGATCTCCTGCTTCTGCATGTCAAGACCACCAACATCCGCATAAGTCACATCTGGCTTCTCGTTCTCGCCCAGCATAGCAATGGAGGAGTCAGCCTCCGGGGGTAGGATATCGACAAGGGCGTTGGAGTGACGGTGGAGTGCGACCGAAGACGAAGGCTTGAGCTTCTCGCGGTCGAGCGTGGAGAGGATACGGACGACATAATTCGAGCCAGTCGACGATTGCACAATACCGGTACTAGGATAGTCAGTTATTGGTTCTATGTCGAAAGCTCTGCGCGGCACCATACTTCTGATCGATCGCTTCCATAAACTGGCCGATAACCAAAGGCACACTCTGTATCCGCTTGATCTCCTCCTGCGCACGAACGAGTTCTCTCTTCAAGCTCCTGTACGGGTAGCAAATGTTAGCTCGGGTAGATTAAGCTCGAAGGAGGATGGTATATAGCTTGCCTTTGCTCATCCTTGATGTACTCCTCCTGAAGTTGAATGTACCTGTTATTGAAGAGTCAACATGTGCCGCGACAACCATCATCACCGTTGGAACATACTCTAGATGTCTCTGCAATCTCTTCAATGTGGCATATTCATCGCTCCCATCGTTTCCTGTGCCCTCGAGCGAGTCTATGTTGGGGATCGTGTCCAATGGAGCTGCCTTGGTGAGAGGCGTGACGTTGTTCGCCGGGGTCTCGACGGCGACGTCTCCCATGGCGGATATTTGGTAAAAGCGGAGCGGGTGTGAAAATAGCAAGCGCAGTTAACTGTAAGCTAGAGAGAATATGTCCCAGAAAGAAATGGATGGATCAGTCGTGGGCAAGTTGGGAAGGATTTGGCTGGTTGGATCTATTGCGTCGATGCCAGACAGCCCGGCTCACGAAGCTCACGGGCAGTGGTCATGTGACTTGGTAGCTCGGCGGTCCAGCTGATATAATGGCGCAGGACAGAGCCTTTCGCTCAGTATGGACGATAGCTAACAATTTGGCACTCACGACTCGTTTTGGTGCGCTTATATGTGTATTCTATAAGTTTCTAGGCTTCAAATATATAAGTAAAAGGATTACTCCTTTTGTGAGTGTGCTGTTGTGGCTTCGCAAGTAATTCTGATATGTTAGCCGCCAAATTATATACTTCCGGCAGACATTGCTAACAAGAGATAATTCATAAAACCCAATAATATAAACACTTATTTCATTTCGCTACTCTTATTTCCAACCACGGGCCAACGTATTTCAAACCATATCTAACCTCAGGCTCCTACGTCAAGCCCATCAACCACTTAGCTATCAGACAGGCGACAAATGTTATCATCTATGTAATAGCACTGAACAACGCCAATTTAGCGAACGGCTAAATCCAAATGTTGCTAAGGAAAAACAAGTAACCTGCATAGTGTAACAACTAGAAGGCAGCGTGCCTGTGCCATTTAGGATGAAATATTGCGAAGATTATATTGGGTCGACTCAAGCATCTGCGGAGGAAAGAAAAGTCCCCATCTAATCAACTATAGTACCCTTTGTGGTAGACCAGAAGATTCCAGACTCAGTTGGGCTGAGTGAATGCCTAAAGTGGGAATGGTGCATGGTTCAACACCGTCACATGACATGATACCATTACATAATCTTAATTCTGAAGCCTAATCGGGTAAAATAACCAGCAGGCTGGGGATGAAGCCTCATTTTCTGGGGTCGGATAGTAACAGAACAGTTGTGTGCTCTGTTTAGCCGATAGCAGCAGCGGTCACCGGGATTTCCGCCGTGAGGGCTTTGGAGATAAGGTGCAGTCCCTGCATGTGATGCCATTGCTTTATTAGGACATCATCAATTATTCCTTCCATGCGAAAGTAAGCCCGCAGGTTGACGGCGGAATGCCACGAGCTGGTAGGACTGTAACGACCCATAATGTATGTGATAATCTGATACTTATCACTTGTACAGGTGCCGCTTGCTTGACCTGCCGGCAAAAGTGCCGCAAGTGTGACCGTGGCCGTCCGAGTTGCCAACGATGTGTCTCGAAAGGTTTAGTATGTGGAGGATACCCAGAACGGTTCAGATTCTGCGGAATTGCTAGTCGAGGTAAATGGAAGGGTGCTCGGATACCGACCAACAGTAGAATTCCTACCGGAGGTCGATCAGGAATAAGCGATGCTGCCTTGGATACCCTGGTGCCACCGACCCAGGAAGTTACGGAGACCCCTCCCCCCAACTTGGAAAGTGATCAAGCTTGTTCAGCCAATCTGAGTGGTAGCCCGAAGACCACGGCACAGGGAATACCTGTTCCTGAAAAGCCAGCTGAAGCTCACAGTCGGCCACTGCCAAAGCTTCCAGACGATGTAACTACGCTTCTCGATTCGCCCGACACAGCTAGGCTGTTAAGCCATTGTAGGCCTCACCCCTCGAACCATTGATAGCAAGGCACTAAAGACACGCTGCAGATGATGACGTTATTTGCCCTCATCAGATCGCTGAGGTTGGGGATGACGCAGAGAACCCTTACCGAGCATATATTCTCCCGCTGGCGCGCAAGAAAATCGGGCTATTGTACGCTCTTCTTGGGCTTTCTGCTTCCCACCTCGGGCGGGTGATTGGAGATGAGTTCCTACACGAAGCCACGGCGGTTGAATATCGTATGAAAGCCATACGTGCCCTGAGCGAAGAAATCCGTAAGAGCCAAAGGACATCTTTGCTCGAAGACGAACAAGATACCGTCTTAGCGATAATACAGGTCCTGTTGCTTCATGATGTAGGCTTCGTGTGCCCTATCTATGCCACAATTAATTGCTCGAGCATCTAAACTTACAGGAAATAGATTTCTGAATCAGGAATATCGAGTCATGGCATTCACATCACAGGTGCCATGTCCGTCTGTAAACAGCTGTTGATCTCCGAGGGGCTACATGGCCGACGTCAACGGGCCATGTTCTTTCTCGGTAACCTGGCTTGGTATGTTAACCCAGGCCTGATGTTTCCGATACAAGGCTCACTAGTGAAAACCTAGGCTTGATATAATTCGAGCATCTGCTGGCCCCGAGAGAATGTGCTTTTCTCAGGACATTCGTGAGCTAGTCGCTTGCGCCAGCGATAGAAAGTTCGAATTGGTAAATGGGTGCCCGAGAGAAGTCTTTCTGGTCATCGGCGCAGCACTGGAAAAGGCAAAGGAACATACACTAGGCTGGCTTACTTGGGATGAGTACCAGATCGCCCTGCTCCTAGCAAAGCACAAGCTCTATGCATGGGATCCAAAAGGAAGAGAGTACCCTAGTCATGATCCTCTCTGGCTGTTCATAGCAGAGGCTTTCCAGTTTGCATGTATCTTGCGTATTCTTCGGCTACTAGACCCGTTGAAGCCAGCTAGCAGCTCTGATATACAAGAGTGTGTTCGAAAGATTCTCGACGCGACGGCGATCATTACTCCGGAATGCTCGTTACTGGAAATTCTTGTCTTCCCACTCTTTATGGCAGGATCTGACTGTATCTCGCGTCATTCGCAGTATTATGTCCTTACGAGACTGCGCGAAGTTGAGCGACGATCGGAGTTTCGCAATCCGGTCCCTGCTGATATATTAAGAAAGGTTTGGGATGCTCGTGCGGCTCAGGCCGAAGATGATTATACAAATATCTCATGGACGGCATTTGTAAGTGACACCTTAATATTTCGGGAATTTCAAAGCTTACCATTCAACCTAGACACACTCCCCCGGACTTGCACGACAGCATGACTACCTAATCATATGAAGTTATACGTACATCGGTTACCATCGATGATCATGCCGCTTATTTGCAGGATCTGCAAATCGCCGATGGGTTATCGATTGTCTATCTAGAAGTAGATCGCGAATAATGACATATTGTAAAGATTACTGCATCACTCGGGTTGACTTTCTTTGCGCTGATCGGGATCCATGCTCGTTTCGATGCGGCGAATGATGCGTGCTGGGTTTCCGGCAACAAAATGGAAGGGAGGAACGCTCTGCAATTAGATTAACCGATTCTTTACGAGACATAATAGCCAGAATATAGCATGGCATACCCTTGTCACCACAGATCCAGCTCCCACCGTACTGCCTCGTCCGATAGTAACTCCGGCTAAGATGATTACACTGCCTCCTATCCAGACATCGTCTTCGATATGCACTTCCTTGCCGGCTTCTGGGCCCTCTATACCCCGTCGCACAGCTGGGTCCAAAGGATGGGTAGCCCCGTAGATACAAAGATTCGGACCGGTAAGCACCCTTTCACCAATGGTCACGGGACATGTATCCAGGACATGAAGGTTGTAGTTCAGAAAGGTTTTTTTGCCGACCTTGAAGTTCAAGCCGTGATCCACCGAGATGGGAGGGTCCACATAGGGATCTGTATCGTCAAAGAGCTTCTCATCCTCCCGAGGATCGGAATGGGCTGGAGGCAGAGGGCGCGTATCACCTAGGATGCTGTACATCAGGAGGTCAATTTGAAGAGCACTCCCAAAAGCCGGTAGAAGAACTCACTCCCGCCATAGTTCCACCCTGCGCCGCCGAGCGACCTGCCCAGCTTGATTGAACCTGTCGCATGCTTCTTTGCAGCGCTGCCGATGGGCCTGAAGGTCTGCATCCCAAGGAGCGTAGAGCTCGCCATTGAGCATCTTCTGCCATTCTTTCGATGTCGTCATTGTTCTAATGTAGAATGCTGGCAGGGACTCTGATATCAGAGGATGCAGAGGCTGGCGAGCGATTGTAGCTCCATTATATAGTATCAGTGAGCAGACTAAAACAGTTCATCGAGTTGTGGCCATTCATTATCCAATGCGAATCAGCTGGGCGGTTGGGAATACTTCCGAATTAGGCAGGTTAGGCCTCGGCCGGTGCGAATCACGAACGGCCAGCTTGTGGGTACGCCGAGCCTGAACTAAGTACTATGAGACTGAATTTTGCTCCAGAAGTTTACGATTTAATATCGCTCTTTCACCATGCATAAGCTGCTGAGCTACAATTACGGTTTTGGATTGTGGGATCAATGCATGCTATATTGTGTCACCGAAGTTGGATAGTAAGGAGACAGCATGCTATTCAAATTCCATGCCTACGGTATCCGAGACCAAATGAATTCTGAGACAATGCAAGGCCCTTTCAATGTAGTACAATTGACAGATGATGCATGTATAGTTTCTGCATCACAGATAATGGTATGATAGTAATAGTATACGATCTAGAACCAGGGATCAGGCAGGATCTAAGGCTGCCACTGATGACGTAATACACGACTCTACATGGTGATTATTAACTTAACTAATCTGCCACCAGGGTCCGCCCACTGAATTGGCTCACCCCTTTTACCCGCTGCCCGACTGCTACCGACCTGCTCCTGCTGCTTGCTGCTCGCTGCTCGCTGCTGCTGCTGCTACGTACTACCGGTAAGATAAAACTCCTGGAAACCCTTACGCCAGGCCCATCCGAACTTGCCTATCGTTTTTGTTCCCTTGTCCCGTCTGGCTGAAATCTGATTCTCGACTCGTGAGGCGCGCCTCTGATCACTCCACGCCCGTCCCCATTCCTGCCTTTCCCAACCCCGTGTGCCTCTCCACCTTTCCAGAAGGAGACGCCCCCTCCCTTCCCTTGGGAAGCAAAAAGGAATCTAGAAATCCAAATTAATCGGCTCAAATAAAATACCAGATTTTCAGGTACTGCAGTGTACCAAATCTTTACGGAGCTTTAAGTCCAGGTACGCCTGTCATTCCTCACTATTGATCCCATCCCCCCGCTTGTCTCCCAGTCATTGGATTTGCCTTCCACACGCCTCACACAACTGTGGCCACGCACCAAGTAAAGTGCTGGCCACCCTTTTACCCTCCCATTCCTCGGGAGTACCGCGCACGTTGCCCCAAAAGCCATCGCTGGTGGTCCCTTTCTTCCATGGGTTACAGGCCCTTCTATGGCTGATCCATCATTCTGCTTTTGATCATTTTAATTTCTGCAGCCTGTTGTTTGTCATTTTCACAAATCCACTTTGAAACCCCCCCATACTTCCCAGGTCGCCTTGCGATTTGCTGATCGGTCTTCTGCCACTCAGTGCCGCTCGCAACGCCGCTGCGAATCCTCACTTGATTTTCTGCCCTTTTTGCGGTACCAGCGACCTTCCATGGTCCCGTGACCTGCTCGATCTCCTCGCAATCTCTCTCTCCGGCCTTCCAACCACTGCTATTCGGGACCGGCCTCCATCCGCTTGTGAGTCGGCATTTTTAGTTGTCCAGCCTTGTCGGTATGTACATCCTGCCTGTCCCTTACAATTTTCCTTTTTGAGAAAACATCAATCCACCCACCCCAGATTATCCCATTTACCCCCCGTCTTTCCCCCGTCTACACGTTGGGGTGGCTGTCCTCGGTGTGGTGTGTGGTCGCTGCTTCGTGTCGCAGAGCGACAGCGCGACACCCTTCACTGTCAGCTTCCTCACCTGACGCGTCTAGACCCTCTTCCACCTTACAAACCTGGGAGATTGTGTCATTTACCCCTAAAAAACAAGCTCGTGATGATTGTAACACTACTGTCCTTATCGGTCGCGTATCGATGATGACCTTGGTGCTCGTGTCATTTTTCTGACAGCTCTGGTTACCTTACAGATGGGTTGGTAAAACCACTCGACATGAATGCCTGGCTAGCCGACGCCTCGAACCTTCCGAACCATGACAATGGTGCTTTTCACCAAGCGACCATTGATCCTTCTGCGGCATTCCTCCATACCTCTCCTACTCCCGACCCTACCCAGTTCCAGCGCATGTTCAATGGCGTACCGCGAAATGCCTCCCCTGGCTTCCACAACCCGAACCAGGTGATTCCGTCAAAAAGGCCGCGACCGGAGGATGCCATGTCGATGTCGCCTCGACAGGCTCCCGGGGCTATCGCGGCATCTCGGTCTCAGACTCCTCACCAGGTGCCATTCCCAGGGTACCAAGGAGCTGCAAATGGCGCACCTCAATATCCTCCGCATCCCACTCCGTATCAGCACCTCCAGCAAGGAGCTTCTCCGAACGTCACCCAATCTCCGATCATGCAGGAATTCGACCAACACGGTGTACAACGAATGGGAACTGCTTCGCCCAGCCCGTTCTCCCCAGCCGGCCCTCAAGTAGGCTCCCACATGTCTCCGTCACAGTCCGATCATCCGAGTAGGGTGAACACGCCGCAAAACAGCTCATTTATGCCCAATCAACCGTACCCTCAGGCCATGGCGCCCCAGTTCCCGCCCGCGCCTGCAATGACTACTGCCGCTGTGCAGGCGCCGATGCAAGCACATTACGGCGGTATGCCTCAGGGGTATCAGCAGGCCATAGCTGCCCAGCAGCAACAGCAGCGAATGCATGCCATGCAGATGCAAAACCAGGGTCGTCCAATGGCGATGAATCCCGCCATGGCCGGGCGACCCGTGGCAGCTGGGATGAACGCGATGGCCAATCCTCAACAAATGGCCGCCATCAGGCAGATGCAACAGACTATGGCAAAACCGCCTAATCCGGAAGGGTTCATGAGGTCACTGCAGAAGTTCATGATGTCGCGCAACCTTCCCCTCGACCCTAGTCCCGTTGTTTGCGGTCGCCCGATTAACCTGGTCCAGCTTTATGCTACGGTCATGAAGCTCGGAGGATCAAAGAAGATAACGGCTGCGAATATGTGGCATGTCATTGCACAGCAACTGCAGTTCCCGCCGATGCAGCTGCCGATGGCCATGCAGGAGCTTAGGGAGCATTATCAGCGGAACCTAGCTGCGTACGAGCAGGCCTTCCTCAGCACCCAGCAGAAGCAATTTGCGGAGCAGATGCAGCAAACCGCGGTGCCACGCCAGCCCAGTGATCCATCTGCTATGCAGTTCCAGTCTCCAGCCATTAAACCGGGCCAGGGGTATGACAATGCACAGCAGATGGGACACCCATCGCCAAGTCCCGCGTCTGTATCGAGTAGCGTACAACATAACGCTTCGAATGGTTTCGCGACGCCTACACCTGTTAAAACTCAGGGCAAACCGCAGAACCAGCACCGTCTCAGTATTTCCCGCCAGTCACAACCTCCAGCAACGCCAAATGATCCCACTGGCCAATTACCGAGTCAATCGCCTGCGCAGCCGGGTAAAGCCCCAGGCCCAGTCCCTGTGAAGCCCTCAGAACAGCTGGACCAGTCGGATCAGCCATTGAAGCATCAAATTGAGGATCCGTACAAACCCATGGTCTTGCCAGAAAGCAGTTTCCATGGACCCATAGCCATCGATGAAATGTATCAGATCGGGGAGGATATTTCTCGACTGAAGCCTAATGTCCCCAGTTTTGCTGAGTTGGGTGTAATTGATATCCACGCTCTCACAATGAGCATCAAGTCCGGGATCCATGCTGAAATGCGCATGGCTTTGGATACGCTTACATCCATATCTTCAGAGCCGGCGATCCAAATATCGTTAGATAACTGCGACGATCTGGTGGAGAGCTTAATAGAATGCGCCGAGGACCAGGCAGAGTTTCTCGCGGAACATGCTGCCGAAGTGTCTGATATGATGCTTCTATCTTCTTATGAAGAAGTGACTCGTGGATGTCAATCGGAGTGGACGTCTTTGGCGGATGTACCAGAATTCGGCAGCCTCGACTACGAACTAGACCGTGCCGTCGACCGACTCATCTGCATTACAACCATACTACGCAATTTTTCGTTTATCGAGTCGAACTTTGGAATGTTGTCTACTCCTCCGGTTGTTCAATTCATGTCGACTATCATTCGTTACCTCGGCACTCGCAATATGCTACTGAGAACACATCAAAACACATTGGATTTCATGAAGGACACAGTCACTTACCTCAGCAACGTGGCTCACACCATTCAGTTACCGAGTAAGGAAGAAGCACTTTGTCTTCTGCATTTCCTTCTTGCTTTTGCACCATTCCCAGGTCCTATGAGCTCGGAGGGCATAATGTTCAATTCATACAACCCCTCTATTCATAAGTACACACCGGCAGCGGTTGATAGCTTGGCCAAGCTTTTGGCACGGGATGAGCCCAACCGGACATTCTTCAGAGCAATCTTTTCTGGCGATGGTGCCTCGATCCAGCAAGAGTTGCTGACCCGTGCCTTTGGTCTTGCCATTTGCCCGGTCCCTGATCAACCGCGGAAACCCTTGGCTATAGCGGATGCTCGGAAGGTTTTCCTCATGCAAGGCCTATTGGCAGCGGACATCCTTTCAGGCTTTGCGGATGGACCTATTGCCAAGTCATGGCTGGAGTCGACCGACGGGTTTGCGATCCATCTACTGCGGCTCTCATGCCTCCTGAGCACAGAACGAGTTCCTCCACCGAGCACCAACTCCCGCCAATCCCATGCCGCAAGGGGTCAAGCCGAAGCCGAGGCTGCTGCTTACAGCTCCATAATCAATCGGGGTTTGGCAATTCTGCGTCGACTAGCTGAGAAGTCAAAGCTTGCTGATTCCAACGCCACGTTACGGTTCCCGTCGGGAATCATCCCAAGGAAAGAAAGCTTGCTTGGCGCACTGTTGATGCCTAACATAGATCCTGGTGTTGTACGGCAATTGATAACTTATGCACGACTAGCGGAATGAATGCGGTAACTTCTGGAACGGTTAGGGGTTTTTTTTTCTGGGATCATTTCTAGCGCGCTGGTTAACCCGAAGGTTTCATGTTTGGGCCACGCTTAGAACATGCCTTGTTGATGTTTGCTTCTGTCATGTCTTCTACTTCCAACCTTGAGTAAACAACTATCTACATCTCCGTTTTCTCCCTTGTTTTCTTTTTTGTTTCTCTTTCCTACTCTTTTACTCGATCTCGTGTGTTAGGCGCCGGTGGGAAGAACCTTTTTTTTCTTTTATCGAGAGAGGCGTGACAATGTGTATCTCTGTGCTTTACCGCTGTACAATGTTCAATACCCTCGGGCGACAAAAAAAATCATGCATGATGTCTAAATGGGTAACTCTACTGTATTAACTGAACTGGACCGATTCCGGTTGATAGTACGCTCTTGGTCTGAGCGTTGCCTTTCCAAATTAGGAACAGTTCGTAGGCTACTAGGCTGGCTAGTTGGCGGTAAGTCCTGGCATGTTGCGTAGTACCCTTGTATCGGCATCTCTTGTAATCGTATGACGTGTAGTATGATTGTAGTATGGCATGTAGTATGATCAAGAGATCAGGCTGCTAGTGAGGATACCGCTATTTTCCTCGAGGAAATAAATTATGGATGGAGTAAAATAGCGGAAGACGTTATACCCACTGATACTATACTACTACTACGAGCCAGTAGATGGAAGGGAAGAGATGAGACCACTTTCGGATGAATAGATAGTAATCATGTACCGAACCCGCAGCAGTTCGCCGTAGACTTGAGAGATGTGAAAAAAAAAGCGAAAATAGAAAAGGTAGAGATCACGCCAGTATACATACATACATACAGCAGCCAGAAAAACAGAAGCCCCGCAGAAATAAGGGAGTTATGACAGGAACACCAGCACTAGTAGGAGAGAAAAGTAATACAAAGTGAGGAATAAAGTAAGTAGAGGGAAATTTGGAAAAAAGGAAAATGGGGTCATGGGGGGACATTATATCCAAAGTATATCGATCATCCCTGACCATTGCAGATATGCACTGCTTATTTTCTTTTCATCCCGTCGTTCTGGTTCGGCCCTTTTTAGTCTTCTTCTTGTTACCAAGTCTGCAGTGTGTGGTTTCGTCCTGTCCCTGGATCCCCATCGCTCCCAGTGCTAGGCGTGACAATAGACAAGTGTGTGTATGTGGCAGTGTCGTTGGGTTCAATGAGTTGGTGCCGACGTAGGTTTGATAGTAGAAGAGGAGCGAAAGGAATCCAGGGATGACTCCGGTTTAATCTCTTGTCGTTTTGCTTAGAAGTTGCGTTCCTGGAGGAACTTCAGGATCTCAGGTTTGCGCCAGCCCTAAGTGAAGCAGCCAGATTAGCTCGGTCGTGATCAACTGGAGGATCGTATAGGACATACCTTGACAATGATGTGACCGTTAAGACGGTTAATAGTCACATCCGGGCTCTTGGGAGCGCGGGGGTCACCCGACTCCAGTCCCAGGTACTGCGCCAAATCGTTCCTCAGGGCATCCAGATCGCCTTCAGTCTTCTGGAGCTTGGTTTGTTGCTTGGTACCGCCGGCCTTAGTGACAAGATATACAGGAAGTTGGTTGGAGGCTGTGCGACGGATGAAATAAGGGAGGTTTGTGAGTTGCAGGTTGGGCGGCGGTTGCGATACCGGGGTTTCCTTGAGTGTTTGAGATTGCCGCTTGAGTTGAACGAGGAAAGTCCGACATTGCTGGGCGGCAACCTGGGGCTGAGAGATAATTTGGGAGGAGTGACGAGAAGTGAGTTCTAAGAGCAAGTCAGGAAAAGCTCAACGGATCCTTTTTGATACCCTTCGGGCATTTTCTGCCCAGGAACAGCCACGCTTACTATCCCAATGGGATAGGCCGTGGGTGGAACGGACGGAAAGGGTCGCGACATACGAGAGGGGGTCAATCTAGCGGAAGAACATAGCGAGGAGAAGGAGCTACGCGTCCCTGGCGAGACTCTGGACTGTGAAGCTTTGTGCAGATAGAAGGGAACAGCGGTTGACTGCTTGCGAGAAGCCGAGCAGACCGGCAGAGACTGCATGAAGGATGCCATCGGGGTTGGTAAGGGGGAGGTCAAGGGGGAGGCAACGGAAACAGCCTGAACGATTCCTAGGAGCCGGGGAATCGAGGAACAACCCAGAAGGGAGTTTAAAAGAGGGAGAGGGGAGGAGACGGACAAGACGAGGGCCGGAGAGCGCGAGAGAACGAACATACGACATGCAGAAATGAAGCGATGATTTCTTGCTTCGGCGCGGAGACCTTCCGCTAGGCCCAGAAGGGAATAGCGTGCCCAGCAGCCCTTCGCCCACATTTTCGCCAGCGCAAAAGCCGCCGCACACTGACTTTGAAGTCTGCCGCTGCTCATTGTGAGAGGCTCTCCGTTCGTGAATCGCTTCCTCTCTTCTGTTTTTGTCCTTTTTCTCCCTCCCCTCTTTTTCCCCCCTTCCCCCCTCCTCCTCCACCACCCCCCCAATTAATTCCGATCCCCGCTGCTACTGCTGCTATATCTCCCACCATGGCAGCCAACGTTCCTCCTTCCGCTGAGACCCTTCTCAGCGGTGCTGCCGCCCACCCGCCCAAGACCGCTGAAGAGATCGCCAACCAGTATGACCTGCTGCCCAAGTTGATCCCCTACCTCGACCGCCATCTGGTCTTCCCTCTCCTCGAGTTCAGCTCCGGCTCCCAGGAAGATGACAAGGAGATGATCCGCGCCAAGTACGAGCTGTTGAAGCACACCAACATGACCGACTATGTTGCCAACCTGTGGAAGGAAATTAACGACTCCGACACCATCCCCGACGAGTTCGTCAAGAAGAGAGAGGAGGTCCTCGCCAAGTTGCAACACTACCAGGAGCAGAGCGCCAAGATCACCGAGCTGCTGCAGGATGAGGATGTCGTCGGCAACCTGCGCAGCGACAAGGTCGCCAACTTGAAGTTCCTCGAGGAGGAGCACGGTGTCACCGCCGATATGGTCAACAGCCTTTTCGACTATGGTCGCTTCCAGTACAGCTGCGGTAGCTACGGCAATGCCGCTGAGCTGCTGTACCAGTTCCGTGTCCTCTCCACCGACAACGACAAGGTTGCCTCCGCCACATGGGGTAAGCTCGCCTCGGAGATTCTGACCACCAGCTGGGATGGTGCTATGGAGGAGGTCCAGAAGGTCAAGGACTCCATCGAGACCCGTCTCTTTAACAACCCTCTGGGTCAGCTCCAGAACCGCTCCTGGTTGATCCACTGGTCTCTCTTCCCCTTCTTCAACTACGACCCTGCTCGCGATGTCCTGACCGACCTTTTCTTCTCCCCCGCCTACATCAACACCATCCAGACCAGCTGCCCCTGGATCCTGCGCTACCTCGCCGCCGCCGTCATCACCAACCGCAACCGTGCCCACAAGAACAGCAACGTCTACCAGAAGCAGCTGAAGGACCTGATCCGCGTTGTTCGCCAGGAGGGCTACGAATACAACGACCCCATCACCGACTTCGTCAAGGCGTTGTACGTTGACTTCGACTTCGAGGAGGCCCAGAAGAAGTTGGGTGAGGCTGAGGATGTGTTGCGGAGCGACTTCTTCCTCGTCTCGGCTGCCGATGCCTTCGTTGAGGCTGCCCGTCACCTGATCTCCGAGAGCTACTGCAAGATCCACCAGCGGATCGACATCAAGTATGTTACCCAACACGAGGGACATACATTCAGAGCATAACCGTGCTAACCGATATCTCCAGGGACCTGTCTACCCGTCTGGGTCTGAACCAGGATGAGGGTGAGAAGTGGATCGTCAACCTGATCCGCGACACTCGTGTCGACGCCAAGATCGACTACAAGGAGGGCACTGTGATCATGAACCACCCCCCGCAGTCGGTGTACCAGCAGGTCATTGAGAAGACCAAGGGTGCTTTCTTCCGCACGCAAGTTCTGAGGTTCGTCCAATACCCTGTCAAATCGGCCCATATCTATTGCTTGTCACTAACGCCAGGATAATCATATAGTGCTGCCGTTGCGAAATAAATGACACCCCCCACTTCTTGAAATTATACCGAAACAAGAAACTTTCGTCCTTTTACCGTTCTCTTCATGGTTCTGTTCATGTTAGTAGTATCTTCCGCCGCAGTGCGGACTTCCTGAAATGATGGGACCAAGCAGAGTGGCATCAGGCTGGCGTTCAGGTGGTCCACTATTCCTTTTTTCTCTTTTTTTTATCTCTCTATCTTATTTTCCCTTTTCTATTTACGTTTCGTGTCCCACTTTCCACCCACTATATCGTTTATTTCCCCCCTGTGTATCTCTTTATGATGTTTGACACCCTTCGGGATTTTGGTGTGTGTGATGACTCCCTCAAAAAGAAGAACGAAGTACCGTCAAAAATCCTATCCAACTATATCTGGACTTTTATTTTTGGGTCGACCGGAGGATGAAAAAAGGAAGGAAGAGAAGAGAAGAAGCAGGACCGGGGGTGTTTCCTTAAAAGTGAGAGCAGTCCTTTGCACACTTCTGTCTTATTGGGGTGTGTTTTCTCGTCCGAATAAGACGCCGTCGCTTGGTTACGTGTGATCGAGCTATGCTGTTACGAATGATCTATAGAGATGATGGAATTCAGTTATCATTAACTCACTCAAAGAGACCGGCTGCATTATGGTGTATCGTAATTATTATAGAGCCGCGGTCCTCAAACCCTATCCCCCTCCTCAGAATCCCAAACAATTACCAATCCTATATAGTAGTAACAAAAGGTATCTGTAGAACTGAAATATATAACCAAACCACAATATCCCCGCTATCCAAAGAACCCAAGAGCAAAACAAGCATCAAATCGATATCGAATATGACAACCCATCCCTCCCCTTCCCCCCTTTTCTTTCCCATCTCACATTCCAACCCCATTCAAACCCACTTCATCGACTCCGTCTCGGTTCATAATCCATCATCTGCGACGATGATGATGATGAAGACAGCGGTGGTGGTGCCCTGCTTCTCCTCCCCGAACTCCTGACGGGTACAATCTCATTGATATAGGGTTCGTGTCTGCCGAAAGTGGCGGCTGCGGCGGCGGGGCTGGCTGAGTCACCTGCCATTCGGAGGGATTCTTGACGTTCGTATTCTCGGGACATGGTTGCTAGGTCGTCGATTTGTTCCTATTGAATTATACTATTAGTTTGGGGGCGGATGGGGGAGTAGGCGAGTAGGGACGCACGCACTCTTGTAAGTGGTACACCGACTATTAGGTAGCCATCGCGTCCCTGGAGAGTTGTTCGGTTCATGTGTTAGAAGAGTGTGTTTGGTTCTAGGTGTTTTGTGTATGTGGCTGTGATTTATTGTCTCTACCTGGTATGAATATGGCCTGACGCTGGCTGATGGCCCTAGAAAGTATTGTATATGGCCTAAGACTATATGACGGGACAGTCCGTATCCTGGGAGCCAGTATTGTTGGACTTGAGACATCTCCGTGAGGTTGTAGTAAGTCCAGTTAAGTATAGGGGAGTAAGTAGTGTGAGAAGTAGTAGTGATTGTGAGTGATGCAGTGTTGTGTTTGTGTTGTATACTAGATCTTGAACTGAATAGAGTGGACTACTTTCGATCATGACGACCATTCGATTGAAACTGGAACCCTCTTCTAGGGACCCCATATATATAGCTAGCTTCGGGTTTCTGGTCATGCAAGGAAAAAGGAAGAAGAAGATAACAAACGGACATAAGATTCATTCGTCACGCCTCGGTGGGTTCGATGTGGATGTGTCTCTCAAAGGTGTCGGAATGCCCTAGGGCAATGTGACTGTACATAGTGGGCTCCATCACTTAGGATGCTGATCAGCACGCCCGCCATCGGCCCAGCGAATTTTCTTCCAGTCAAGACTGCGCCTTTGCGAATGTGGCTTTTTACATAGACTCTTTTGCGAGCAAAATGGAACGGCTGCAAGGCCTGCTGCTCACGTCCGATTCCGGGGAAAACTCGCCTCACTCTTTCATCCAACCCCTTTGCGTCGGTAAAAGTGAGGCTTGGGCACCCCCCAAGGGAAGACTGACAATTTCCGCAAATCGAAGGATATTGCGCCCACCTTCTCGCGTGCCTCTGTATTTTCACAGCTTGGCTATTCCTGCGGTGAACATGCACCACTGAAGTGGTCGGAGATGTAGGTATGTAGTAGAGTCTGTATGTGTGATGCCGTGGCTCCATGGACCGAGCGTTTCGGATGCAGCTAGTATGCTTGCTGGAAGTTTATTGGCGACTCCCCTAGATCTTGCAGCCCCAAAATGGTTTCGTACATTTCGGAATTTCTTGCGTCTCGAGTCCAGACGTCCTCATAGCTGGTGACACCTGCATGAGCCTGGAGCCATTTATACAGACCGGGTTGTTCGCAGATCTATGAGGCCATGCCATACTGTATCCCACTTAGCCGACCGGACTGTTTCTGCCCGCGGCTCTCAGCGGCAGCTTGAGTCATAGTGTTCGGCCCGATTACTTCTTGTTTTTATTTCCGGGGTCCTTAATTTGACCTGTAATCGCTCTGCAAAGTTTATCGGGGCTGTAGTCGGTGCTATCTGTATATCGGTGGATACAGCATAGTTGTCACCTAATGTCGCAGATTCCGAGGTCTAGACTAGAGATGCATCATCTGAAGGGGAACATCTAAGCGTCGTGGCATGATTGACCATGTAGCCTGTACCCACGAAATATCGTAGCACAGAGATTTATGCCTCGGAGTTCGTCTCAGACCGTCGATGCTGTCCTTGCTGGGCCGAGCTAAGCTTGACGATCGTTGAAGACAGAATGGGCAGTGACATGATCCTACAGGGAACTAGACCTGGAGGCCCATTGTTCCCTCCCTGTATAGCCGGTCTTCGCGGCGATATCTGTGGCTTTTAACCTTAGCTAGGGGTCACCTGCATCAGGGCTTGGGCGAATCTGATTTGGTAGTCAGCCACGCTTGCATGAGCCGGTCTAGCTAGGCCATGTTCTTCTTAACAGGGCTTCGGCTTCCTCTTCTTCAGTCACCCATCAAGCTTTGCAAGCGCCGGAAAGTGACTGCCACTGTTGTGACTTGTGACAGCCCGGATATT